ATTTTTTCTCAAATGGTAATATTAAATGTTGTTAAAATCTAACATGTAGCAGTTCTATATCATGGTTGTACAGACTATAGGCTTTGGAATCAGACAGCTTGAATTTGAATCCTTTTACCATGGTCTATTAGTTGCATGAATTTAGACTATTACTTAACATTTCTACATCTTAATTTTCTCATCTGTATGGTGGGGCTGATCATAATAGTATCTTCCTCTTGAGGAATGTTACAAGGAATCAATTGAAATTTCACATAGTATATAGCATAATGTTTCACAAGACACAAGCAGAAAATGTTAATCATTGTTAACATTATTTTAACTATTTAATTCATCATTATACTTGCCCCTAGCTCAATCTCATTTACCTTTTACTGGCACATTCTTATGTATCTTTCAGCATTGAGTTATTGTCATTTCCTCCAAAGGAAATCTTTCTTAACTCTCTCATGCAGAGTTAGTTCCTCCCTTCTTCCATATAGTATCTCTAAGATAGTCTCAGAGTTCCTGGGTGGTGCAAACGGTTAAGTAGTAGGCTGCTAACCAAAAGGTTGGCAGTTTGAGTCCACCCAGGGCATCTTGGAAGAAAGGCCTAGTGATCTGTTTCCAAGGATGACACCCAATGAGAACCCACAAAGATAGAGCCTAGGTTTACTCTGACATACATGGGGCCACCATGAGTCAGAATTGATTTGTCAGCAACTGGTCTCCATGAAACTCTAAGGGAGACCTTAGAATACTGTTTGTCCTTTTATATTAGGACTGAGTACCTCCTGATGTTGCCTTGTGCAGATCTAGACGGTATGATGCCTCCCACTCTTTTTTTTTACCACCCTGGCCAAACTCTGGGGTGTCTATCTCTACCACACCTCCTTTCCCCAAGGTTTGATGCTCTTCTCTGAAAACAGTTAGTGGATGTGTCCTTATTTTACAGGATTATCTGTTTATGTTATAATTATCTGCTTACATATTTATCTTTCCCTCTATACCATGAGCTCCACGAGAACTTTTTCATGTGTGAGGCCATAATACATAGTAAGAATTGGCCACAAAGCAGACATTAATTACAGAGATTTCCTTTTTTGAATGAGTGAATGACTTAATTTATAAGTTGGCAATAACCAGTCATTGACAAATTTTACACTTTAATAAAGTTGTAATCTCTAGGAGGTAGTGTGGTTGGGAAGAACGAATTAGGGGGAGAAGATTGAGCTCTTTGGCCAAGCAAACTACTTTTCTGTACCTTGGTTTCTTTCCTTTTAAAATGGAATAATTATTCATTCAGAATGCTTTTATTCAAATTTTTTTATTCAAAATGCTTTGTCTATATTACAGAGCTATTGAAGAAAACAGGAGATACTACATAGTCAAGTAAAAGATGCTCTACAGTGTAAACTGGATTACTGTCCTGGAGAATAAGCAAATTTTATTTTAACTGTTGTGCTTTGATGTTATTCCTATTTTGCTTTTTACAAACCTTCCAAAAGGTCTAAGATAGTTGAAAATTTATAAGGAAAAATATGTAACCGTAGTAAATTTTATTTCTCATGTAACAGCTCTAGTATTTGAATACCAATGAACATGACTTAAAATTCTTATTTTAGGATCTAAGAAGCTCTGGTAGCACAGTGGTTAAGGCATTCTGCTAACCAAAAGGTTGGTAGTTTGAACCTACGAGCCACTCTGTGGGAGACAGATAAAGCAGTCTCTTTCTGTAAAGATTTATAGCCTTAGAAAACCTATGGGGAAGTTCCACTCTGTCCTATAAAGGCACTATGAGTCAGGATCAACTAGATGGTTGGGTTATTTTTGACTCTTATAATACCTTTTCCTGTTGTAGGTGATTTTGTGTACATAATTTGTACATTCTTTTTATATTTTAAGTTTTAGGCACAGTTATATTATCATTATTTTAATGCTTTCTGCTCTTGGATTCTCTTAATATTATCCTACTCTGACTCTTTATTTCAGTGAGTCTAATTGGGCAGAAAAATGGATACTAAATGTATCATGGTCATTATATTCATTTTATAAGATGTAGAATCAGAAGGAGGAAAAGAAAGAGAGAAAAGACTGAAGATTGCTTGTGGTAGAATTAACTGAGTGATGAAATGGAAGGAAAGGAGCTTGATACATTCCATGGGACACTTTTGTACCCAGGCAGCTTTTTGCTATATGAAACATTTTTTAGATGTATAAGGAAAAAGGAAGAAAGTTAATTATATTACAGGGAATGTGCAAATCAGGTATTGACAACTTGGGAAGTACCTGTATTAAAAAAGAGCACAGAGTATGTTTCCCTGACCTTTAAGGAGCACCTCCTTAACAGTGTGAAAAAACTAGGCCTGTTTAACCTTTTCTTACTTGTTTATTCTATCTTTGCAGTGCCTCTGTCTCTTCATTCTGATCTGAAAAGTGGAGATGACATGATCCAAATATGTTATGCTAAAATATATTCATTAGTTGCTATTAGTACTTTGAAAATAAAAGATTGACATATTGATTAGTTTGATTTAAGTGCCTAGTCTAAGCCTTTGTCAGTTTGTAACCCTGTATTTAATTTTTATTTAATAAGTTTCACAGGAGAATTTACAAAGGCATTCCACTCCAGCTCAGAGGTGAAGTCTGGGCTCTACTTCTTGAGATCCCTAAAATGAAAGAAGAAACAAGAGACCTTTATAGTGTGAGTATCTGAAGCTAACCTGTTATTTTGAAATTAAAAAGTAAGATCCATTTCTTTTAGCTTTCGAGGTGATGTGAGATATTCATAGCATCTTTGGATTATATTTAAGCTACATTGGTTTGTTGTTTTTGTTTATTGTAGTTTTCGTTCTAATTTTCAAACAAATACTTCAATGAAAATAATATTTTCTTTATTAATTAGTCAATAGCTGTCAAATGCTTTTCATACAAGGAAGTTAAAATGATGAATCAATCTTGGGGCATGTTTGTAAGGAAAATTGAGTAATACCTGATTGTAGCCACTCCTTTCCAGTGTAGTTTCAGTTAATAGATTTACAGTGTCAAGTTTAGAGTTTATAGGAAAATAACAGAATTCCATTTGTCCACCAGCTGCCTGTGTATGGTTAATTGTTTTCTTTACATATGAAAAAAGAATTTGTCCCCAAGACTATTACTTATTAATGTTAAGCTTTTGACTCAGTGGTCAGAAATGCCTTCCTTAAATTAAACAGTGCATTGAATTTACCTCCTTGTCATCTCAGCTATACCTTTTTAAGCCTAAATTTTACATTAACCTTTGAAAGGAATAGAAATTTTTAAAAGATGATAAAATATATCATCTAAGAATCTTAGACCATAAATTTAAAAATATTTTCCTTAAAAAATGCATATAAATAGGATAAATTAAAATAGAATAATTGGAAAAAAGAAAAATAATTGCTAGCTTAAGCCTAAAGCCAATTATAAAATGGACTTTAGAATGTTCTTTTAATATTTTAATTTTCTCTTTCTTTATATATTGTGTATAGTCAGGTAAAATTTCATTAAGATGAAAGGTAACAAATACTGGTTAATTCAGAGTTGCTTATTTTGTGTGACTAGAAGATTTAAGATATTAGCTGCTTGGACCGTGAACAGACTATACGAGTTTTTGTCGGAGGATTTTCGACTTTCACATTATTTTAGACTGTTGATTAGGTATTTGTTTTTAGTTTCATAGTTTTAGAGAGCCACTATTGGAAATGAAGTATGTCTGAGGTAACATGTATAAAATAAAACCCTAGCAGTTAATATAGTGTGCCTGGAATATGGTAGGTGCTCAGTAAATATGTATTTAATTAATGAAAGAAAAAAATTACTTTTATGTAGTTGCTAATAATAGGACTATAATTTTCAGTTATCTTTTTTGGCTTTTTCTATAAAGAATGAAATTTCCAAAGCCTAGTTAATATGAGATAATCATTTGGTAAAAACCAGTAGTTCAGCAACAAAAGAAATAACTTGCCCCCCAGTGGTTTTATGCTCATAATTTTCAACACTACCTTACTGTTTGAGTTTCTGCTAGCATTATTTTTAAACCAACTTCTTTTCTCAACCATTCTTTTCTATTCTGTTTCTCCTCAAGTGATATATATTGCTCTCCAAGCATCCTCCACAAATTGGAACTTCAGTAAGAATAAAATTACCTCCTCATATTCTGCTAAGATTTTAAAGATCTGAGGGATTGACTCTGCTGTGAGCCTTCAAGTTTTCCTGGTCTACCTGTTTGTCCTTTCTTGGAATAAAGTTCTGTGCCACATGCAAAAGAACATACAAAAGTGAATAAGTACAATGTCAAGAAACTTTTCTTCTCTGTTGAGGGAGACATGATTCCATAAAAATATTTAATACTAGTAGCATGTAGATAAATACTTTTAAAACAGTAAAAGAAAAGAGTTGCTATAGTTCAAAAGAGGGAAAGAAAAGAAATCACTGTTGGTCTTTATGATTCAGGAAGACTTCATGGAATAGGAACAGTTTGAGGTAGGCTTCATTTCTGAAAGGGAGAAAAATAAAGGAGGGAGAGAGAAAAGGATTAGTTTTTAATTTGAAACTTCTATTACTGCATTTTTAAAATACAGTACTTATTTTACCTTGAGGAGAGCTAATATTATTTGAATACTTTATACAACATGTGTGGATGCTAGTCTAAACGCTCCATGTGAATTAAGTCATTTTCTTCTTACAACAATGCTAAGAGGCAGAGCTTTTTATTATGATTATTTTTATTTTACAGATGAGGAAACTGAGTTTAGTAAGATTAAGTAAATTCCCTAAGGTTAGAAACTGGCAGAGGCAGGATTTAAAATCTGGGCTGTCCTGGCTCCTGAATCAGTGCTCTCATTTACTCCATTCTACTGTTTTGTTTTACTTTTTTCATTGCAACTCATTTGTATTTGTCTCTCTTGTGTCTAGTGATACAGCTAACAAATGGTAGCCCTTAGTCAATAGTAGTTAACAACCTTATCTACAGCCTTAGCTTGGCTCAGTAATGTTATAGGCCAAACACAATGATATTACACATTTTATCAACATGCTTTTCACTGTGTTTCTGCCCTCAGGTTTATAGGTTCATTAGCTTTTTCTTTTCTTTTTTAATGTAATTTGAGTGAAAGTTTACAAAGCTAATTCATTTTCCATACAATAGGTCTTACAGTTTTGTTTCATGACATTGATTGCAATTCCCACAATATAATAGCCCTCTTCCTACTTTCTCACTGTAGCTACTTTTCCCCTGTGTCCTTTCTCATGCATTCCTACCCTCTGAGCTTTCTCTCTGTGCAGATACTGTCCTCTTGATGTCTTATGGTTAATTGCTAAGGAGTGAACCTACCAGGTGTACATGTTCACCCTATATTCCTGTCTATTTGGCTGGAAGCCATGGGAATGAGTTCAGTTCTAGGCCTGGAGGGTAACTAGGGAACATAATCTTGGGGGTTTCACCAGTCTCTATCAAACCAATAAGCCTGGTTTTTTTTTTTTTTTTTTTTTCTGATTTCAAATTTTGTTCCCACATTTTTCTCCCACTCTATCCAGGATCTCTTAGACTGATCCCTTTCTGAGTGATTGATGGTGGTAGCCAGGCACCATCTAGTTCTTCTGGTCTCAGGGTCATGTAGGCTGAGGTTCACATGGTCCACTAGTCCCTTGGGCTAATTGTTTCCATGCACCTTTGGTTTTCTTCATTTTTCTTTGCTCCGGACAAGGAGAGACCAGTTTTCTCTTAGATGGCCACTTGCAAGCCTTTAAGGCCCCAGTCACTACTTACTAAAGTAAGATGTAGAACAGTGTTTTTGTGTAGTAACTTATGCCAATTGAGCTTGATGTCCCCTGCAACATGGTCCTGAGCCCATGAGCCCAACAACTTGCTCCCTCAGGGTGGTTGGCTGTGGCTAAGAAGTTATCATAACTTTGCCCCCTGTTGGCACTATTATGTATATGGACATATTTACCGCACATACAAATATGTATGTAGAAATATCATCTCCCAAACTTAAATATGGTCATGGATGTCTTCCCTTTTGCCTAGACATACCTGATCATTCAGCCTGTCCGCCTATGTTTCCACTCATTGATTAATGATTATTATCGTTATGGATAAGCTAGTGTTGTGTTTGTAAAAGTGTTTATCTTTGTTGCCTGTACCTCTTGTGCATCTCTCTGTGTCTTCCTTTTCCTTAGTGTTACTGTGGTTGGTCACTTGCTTTTGGTAAATTGCCTTTCCTTTCACCCAAATCAATACTAGTCTCTTATTGTTTGTTTGTTTTAAATAACATGTTTATTTTTAATATTATGGTGACATTTATGGATCTTAACCCCCCCAACCTCAGAGATAACAGTAGAATCTGTTTGCCTCCTTTCATTAAGATAAATGTGTTTGAATTCCTGTATTCTGCGCATAAGCTTGTAAATATTATACACCATAAATACTTCTTTTTTCCCCCCTAACTTAATGGGGCTTTTCTTATTACTTATGAAAAAAAGTCATAAGGCTTTTTTTATGTTGGACTTTTTTGTCCTCTGGCGTAGCTGATATTGTAAGTATACTTGGGTGTTTTTCTCTCTTCCATTAAATTTTATTTTAAAGCTTTTTTTTTAAAAAAAAAATTATGTCTTGTCAAACATGTTCTTCCTATGTTTCTATAGTCAGTCTTTTACCAGGAGGTTTGTTGTAGGACAATAATTGAAATCTCTTGACTTGCCCATTATGTGTTTTTTTCCTTAGATATTAAAAGAACAAACATGTACAGGTTTTTTTGTTTGTTTATTTAAAGGTACATTTTTGTAATGTCTTCTGAAGCAACTTTTATCAGAAATAACATACAGTATTATTTCAGTGATTTTATGATTCTTATACAGCACTGTAAATATCTTCTCCACTCTGAAATATACTGCAAATATTCTTCATATTTTAAAAAGCTACAGAAGCTGCCCTTCTTTGAAGATCCCACCTCAAAACATGAAAATATGTATCCTAACAAAATGGAAAGAAGGTTGGGCAATCTACTTCCGTAGTGATACCACCTTGGAAACCCAAGGAGGGGTCGCTACGAGTAGGGTCCGATTCCATCACAGTGGTTGTGTTTTTTGTTTTTTTTTAACAAAACATTTAAAACACAGACATATTCCAGATATACCTACCTTCTTTCCATGTTTAACTTAAGAGTTAACACTTATATTTTCATATGTACTTAGAGTTGATTAAGGAGTTCTGGTGGTACAGTGGTTAAAACACTTGGCTACTAACCAAAAGGTGGGCGGTTCAAACCTACCAGCCACTTTGCAGGTGAGAGATGAGGCAGTCTGCTTCCATAAAGATTTATAGCTTTGGAAACCCTATGAAGCAGGTCTATAAGTTGAAATTGACTTGATGGCACTGGGTTGTTGTTTTTTTTCTTTTTTTTTTGGGGGGAGGTTGATTTCAGTATAAATGTGTATGACCAGTACATTATAAATGGGTCAGTATAACATGTGTATATAGATGTTTAATTGTACTTAAACATGGTTAAGTATAAATTAATATAAACTTAATCTCACTATTAGTTAAACATGAAGATTAAACATACTCATTTAGTGCCCCTTCCTCCTGAAATTAAGTGGACAGCATGCTGTTGTTGTTATTTGCCCTCGAGTCGGACCCGACGTATAGCAACCCCTCCTTGGGTTTCTGAGGCGGTATCACTACGGAAGAAGATTGCCCAACCTTGCTTCTGAGGAGTGGCTGGTGGGTTTGAACCACCAGCCTTCTGGTTAGCAGTCAAGTGCCGTAGGTACTACGCTACCAGAGGTCCCAATGGACGGCATAGGGTTTTCAAGAAAGGCAAATCCCCAAAGAATAAGAAAATAAGAGATAACAGTCACCTATTTTTGGAAACCAGAATGTAGATATACATTTAGTAAACTTAGCAAACCTGATAAAGATAAATTTTGGGCTGGCAGTGGGAAATTGGAAGAGCAAGTTGATTTATATCTCAAAGTCTCCAAAAGATTCAGTAATTGCCAACATCAGGAAGTGGAGGAAAAGCTAAAGAACAAAAATAATTGAAAGCCTGTTTAAAAAACTATTAGAGTAGCGACTGGGATCTTAAAAGCTAGCAAGCTGCCATCTAGATGCAATGATGGGTCTCTCCTTGTCAAGAGCAAAGAAGAAAGAAGAAAACCAAAATTAATGGAAACAATCAGTCCTCGCAACTGGTACACCATCTGATCTGCAACCTATACAACTATGAGACCAGAAGAACTAGATGGTGCCTGGCTACCACTGTCATCCACTTGGAAGGGATGTAGGAGATCCTGGATAGAGAGGGAGAACAATGTGGAACAAAACTCAAAATCATTTGAAGGGAAAAAAAAAAAAAGATGGTTTGACCAGGTTTGCTGGTCCAATAGAGCCTGGTGGAACCACTGAGACTATGGCCCCTAGCTGCCCTTCAGGTCTAGAATTGAACCCACACCTGTGGTTTCCAGCCAAACAAAGTTCAGGCATGTGAGGTAAATCCTCAAGTAGACACACGCCTTGGAGAGAACAATCATGGGAGAAGGAAGGGCTGCTTATGCACAGGGAGACAGCTCAGGGGGCAGGAGAGTATAGAAGGATGGACACTGGGAAGTGGTAACTATGGGGAAGGAGTGGGAGGGGAGCTGTTGCATTGTGGTAAACTGTGGTCAATGACATGAGACAAAGTGTATGTGAACTGCTGATAGAAAGTGAATTTGCTCTCTAAATCTTCACCCAAATCACAATTAAAAAAAAAAAAAAAACTGTTAGCTCCTTAGATCCCTTCTTCCACTCTGGCACAAGACTGAAGATTTACTGTTTAGAGAGGATAAAACAGGCCTCTGGATGAGACAGACATACAACATTGCTGAGGGTGGGGCTGCTGTAATGAAAGCAGAGGCCTTGAATATTCTGAATTTTGGACATTCCAAGTGTTTCCTCCACTCAGTTTCCAGAACATTGGACGCTAGATGTTTTTTTTTTAGGCAGGAGTTTGGAAGAGCCTTCTTTGAAGAATCTGACCAATCTAAGAGAATAAACCCACAGGTATTGGCATCAGGGGGACCCCAGTGAAACTGCCCAACCAGATAACTCTAAAATGAAGACCACAATTTGGAAGCCCCAACCTTGCACCAAGAACTTTCAGTCCACTTTTTAGTGTCCTACTTTTAAGAATTAACAGATAATGAAGTATCACACTACTCATTTGAGGAGAGAAGCTAACATGAAAGACAAACCAAAACAAAAAAATGGGGGAAAAAAGGCAAGTTGTAAAAAACAGACTATACAGCAGGAAGAAAACATTAAAAAAAAAAAAAACCATTAATATCTTCAGAGAGCTGTATATAGATATTGCATCCATAAGGTAAGTACAGGATGCTATGGAAAATGAACAATTTTTCATATAACAAAGAAGAACAAAGAAGTTATGACTATAAAAAATAATAAGAAAATGAAAAACTTAGAAGGAGGATTTGAAAATAAAAATTAAAGAAATTTCCCAGAAAGAAGATAAAAAAGACAGAGATAGAAAATAATGGAGAAAGTTAAATGGCAACCCAGCAGATCCCACATTGTAATAATAATAAGAGTTCCAGAAAGAGAAAATGGGAATGAGGGTAGGGGCATGAGGAAATCAACCAAGGAATTATCGAAGAAAATGCCTCAGAATTCAGAGACATGAGTATGAGTTTTTAGGACAGAAAGGATCAGTCAAGTGCCCAGTTCTGTGGATGAAAATAGATCCACATCAAGAACAGAGATGTGAAGTTTCAGAACATGGAGAACAAAAACCTCCTATAAGCTTCTAGCAAGGAGAAAAAAAAAAAAAAAACATTTCATATAAAGAAGCAAGAATTAGAATGGCAACACTGGAAGCTAGAAGACAGTGAAACAGTGCCTTTTGAGCAAAAATATTTTCCAACTTGCTCTTCTAAAACAGCCAAACAGTTAAATAGAGAATAGATTTATCAGACATTCAAAGTTTCAAAAGATTTATCTTCCATGCACCCTTTCACAGGAGCTACTGGAGGATGTTTTCCTGTAGCACAAGGGAATGAATCAAGAAAGTAGAAGATACAAGATCCAGAAAACAGGACTCAACACAAGAGAAAAGCAAAGAGAAGTCCTGGAAGAGTAAAGAGAGATTTCAGGACCCCAACTGTGCAGCAGGCTGAGACATCAACAAGCCAACACTGGCGCAGCCAGAAACCTCAGCAAAATGTCTTTAAGAAGATGAAATTGGTAGGATACCTATTCTCTTTGAACATCTCCAGAAGTGATTTATGCAACTTAAAGTGCATTTGGGATTGAATTCAAGGGAGAAAATGAAGCAAATTAAGAAACAAGGCAATGATAAGCTCCAAGGAAAACAAAAATACTGTGCTGGAAAGAAAAAAAAAAGGTAGAATTACATGGCTTAGCTATGAAGAGCTTTTACATAGTCTTAGTAACACAAAGTACAAAATTTAAATTTAAAAAACCAAACTATATTGATGGGATGAAAGGGAAAAAGTTGATAAGGGAGGAAGGAAGATGGCAACAGAGTAGATCAGGGCATGTGTGGGAGGGAAACTTTCCTTGTGTACCTTCTTATATTTTGATTTTTGACTATGGAAATGATTTTCTTTTAAAAAATTTATTTAACTATTTTTCATAGACTTTCAATAACTGATTTCCATAAAAAATGTGCTTTCTTTTCCTCTTTTTCATCTTCAGAAATTAAAACACAGAGCACGGGGTTGTTCACCGGATATCAGACAAATTGACCTTGATGTCAACCGCACATTCAGGGATCATATTATGTTTCGAGACAGATATGGTGTTAAGTAAGTAAAGTTTAATATTATGAAATGTAAATAGAATTTATAAATACTTTTTGTCAAAGTCTTTATTAATTTAAACTTTTGAGTATCTAGAATGTGGATCATTTGAGTCTGTGTTTTGTGAAACTTAGTTTCTAATTTAATTTTAAAATTTTTTAACCTTTTGACATAATAGGTATTATACAACTGGAAAATAATCATTTTCTGATCTTGAAATTTTGAAAATATATGGTAATTTTATTAAAAGACTTAGAAAAGAAATGAGAGATTGTATTATTCCTTGAGAACTGTGCCACTGATAAATATATCCGTAGAATTTTGACCCTATACATAAATGAGGCTGAAAAAAAAAAAGGAAATTAATGATTATTTGAAAACTGAGTAAATATAACTATCAGGGCATTTGCACTACATATTGTCTGACATTGAATGTATCATTGCTATGACAGTTTATGAATGAGATTCACAATTTGCTGACCTCTGTATCAGTCAGAGTTCAGCAAGAAAACAAAACCAGTAGGAGATAAATATTAAGAGATGTATTGCAAGGAACCAGCTTATGTGTTTGTGCAGGATAACTACGCATGTCTGAAATCCATAAGGCAGGCTATCAGGAAGGATAAGTTGGAACTTTTGGACATGAGCTGAAGCTACAACCCACAGGCGGGTACCCACAGAGTTCAACAAAAGAAGCTACTACCCACAGGGTAGACCCAGCTCTGCTCTTGAGGCCTTGTAACTGATTGAATCAGATCTATCCAGGTTATCTAGGATAATTTTCCCTACTTAAAGTCAAATGATTATGTAGTTTAATCACATCTATATTTGCATTCAGTTGAATAAATGGGTACTGTAGCTTAGCCAGGTTGACACGTATAAGTGCCATCATAACCCACCCTTGTCAGCTAAGCACTCATACATGTCTTCTTAAACCATTCTTCATATCCAAATAAAGACAATAACAGATAAGCATAACTAATGTCATTGAATTATACACATAAAGAATGTTTATATAACAGATGATTTCTTGCATTTATATTTAACACACTCACACATACAAAAGAATAACAGAGTCATACCTCTGCCTAACATGATACACTAAAATGTGCTTACAACTGAAAATTTTCTAACCCTTTCCCCACAAGAGGATGCAGTCTTTAGGTGATGTTCATTATTCTTTGATATTCTATAACTTATATAGTATGATACAAAGTCAACAATTATTAATACATCTTTTTTTTTAGATGATAAGGGAATGAGAAGAAAACAAAAATACTTAGTTAATGTATATACAAACAATCATAACAAAATAAGAAAGAAATACTTACAACTATTGCAGTCCTTATTTCAGCAGCTGGCCGTATGGTCATAGCTAGTATTTATAACTTCTCTTCTTTCATTACTATTCCATGTTTCCTTTGCCCTCAGCGAGTACCTCAGCTGGTCATGGTTCTCAGCCTGATTCCTGAAGGACCTAGGCCATTAATAATCCTGGCTGAATTAGGTTGTTGCAATTTTCCATTAACTTTAATCACAGGGCATGGTAATACTAAGCCAAATCTTGTATTTCATACATACTCTTTCTTACCTCCATGTGTAGTAGCAACCTAATTTCCCTTGGTAGTGAACATCAGTCACCTCAGTCAGTACAGTAACCCCCTTCTTTGCCTGTTGTTTTAGAAACATGAGAAGGCTAAAGAGCTGGGTGACAGTTTCAACTTCCAGTTCAGTGGAACCATTATTATAGCTCCTAAACTTCTAGGCCAGCAGAGCCCATGATCACAGAGATCAGAAGGAAACAAAAGTGTTGGAGTGGATTAGTAGAGATAACAATGACTAGTGCCACTCCCATTTCCACTCTTTCATTCCTGGACCTGTGAATCCTGACTATAGGCAAAGTAGCACCATAGATTGGACACTGATTTAGAACATATACAGTATCTTGGAGGACATTGCCCCAGCTCTACAAGTTAGTGCCATGTAACTGGTGTTGTAACCAAATCTTTAAAAGTCCATTCCACCGTTCTTTTAAAGCAGTTTTTTCTATGGTGTTGATTTTAGAGTGAGAGAGTTCAACAAAAGAAGCCAACAAATTAAGTCTAGTATTTTTCTGTCAGAATGAATGCAATCTAGTCTCAAATTTAGACCATATAGAATATTATTTAAATTTGAACTTGGAATCATTTCTTTATTACATCAGTAGTTTATTTGGATTTATTTGTCTTCACCGAACTTATTTTAAAAATGTTTGTCATTTAAAATATATGTGAAATAAGTTATGTTTAATGTAAATGTTTTTTTCTCTAGGCAACAATCTTTATTCCATGTTCTTGCTGCATATTCTATTTATAATACGGTAAGTTAGAACACATTTGTCTGTAGTTCTTTGAATTGTATTCTGAGGAACTAGAGTTACTCTTTTGGCACAAGGTACTCTAGGCCACATTTCTTCAGCTCAAGACTAGATGGTCTCCACTGTCCCTTTTACCTCTCTGGTTGTTCTCTGCTTAAAGCTCCTCTGGTAACCCTAGGGTCTTAGAGCAGAGCTGATATGGAAGTGGAAAGACCTAAGTACGACCAAAGTATGCCAGTGAAGCTCACGTTTCTCTCTCTCTAGATTGTTAAGCTTTATGTTGTTTGATTTTTTCTTTTTAAGCAAATAAAACAGAATGAGCAGGACCAGGATGGGAAATTGGAGATGATTCTCATATAGTGTTAGAAATATGGGTCTTCTCACTTTCTTTTCCCCTTGTCCCGCTTTTTCCTTCCTCTTTGACTCAGTCTTAGCTCCAAAAACCCTTAAATATTTCCACCTCCATCTTATTCTCCACCCTGCTTGATTCTCCCTCTAAAAGAAAACACTTAAAATGCCCCATGACCGGAATACTTCTGGCCAAAGTGTTATTGGGCTTTGTTCTTAGAGTGTGTTTTTCTTAGTTTAAGATCAACTCTGTATAAATAAACCCAGAAAAACGCACCTGCCTTCTTAATTGTGATGTGCCGTTTTAAGAGCTAGATTAGTTTTTGCTTAACTCTTTAGATAACTCTTCATTGCTCCTAGAAGGTTGCCTTTTAGAATCTTAGTTTATCCATTAGGTAAGGTCCAAATAGGTCAACACATGCACTTGCTGTTCCCAGGGATGGGCTAAAATGAAACTCTTTGGTAACAGAATATGCTGTTCTTAAGGCATTTACCACTCCAGGGGGAGAAGGTAAGTTGGAGAAAGGTTAATTAGTGTTGATCATAAAGCAGGTGTTAAATAAATGCTTGTTAACTGGGTTCCAGTGAGGACGTTTGAACCTTGAGAAATATCATCTCTGTTATAATGAAGACCTTTAAGTTACAAGGAACAGAAAGTCACTAAAATGAGGGCAAGTTAAAAAGGGGTTTATTAAAAAGATTTCTCACAGAAAAGAAGCAATAGTTGGACCTCATAGGAACTATAACTGGGAAGTCAAAGCCTTCAGTAAGAGAGAGAGAGAGCCATTTTTTCCTTGTCTAGGGCCATGCGGTGATTGTCTCTATGAACTGTTTACATTATTTCTCCCTTCAAATTGGTTTTCTTTGCCTACTTATCAATTTTTACATGGCTAACATTATGTCCACAGAGTCAATATGACCATTCTGTCAAGTTTATACCACCATATGATTACAGTCTGTGGCTTTGTTTAAATTTCATAGAGAGAGAATCTGATCAGTCACTCTCAGCCAACTAATTACTCCTCTAGCTCTGATGTCCTCCTCTGGTCCAACAGCTATGATTCATATGGCACAAACATGAATCCCTAAGGCCACAACATGAAGCAGGGACTGTGGGGGCAGTGGGCAGTTCTCAGAGAGGAGCTGTAGGCTGGAAGGGCAATCTAAAATGTATCTACTCAAGAATCCAGAGGAAACGGAAACATCAAATTGAGACTTGTGGAAGGAGAAAAATTTGCCAACTTCTGAGTAGAGAAGAGGAATAGTGAGCTGAGAATCATATGTGAAAAGAAATGAGTGCTCTTGGAAGAAGGTACAGCAGTATTGAACAAACAGCAGTAAAATAGGTAGAATTTGTCTATAACTCTACATTTATTCTTGAACATAATTTAACTCTTTTATAATATGAGACATAATACTATAAAGAAATGAGAATAACACTCTCTAAATTGCCCACTAAATAAGATGTTTAGGCATTTTCTTATATTTTATGGATCACAGTTTTATAAGTGCAGATACATGTAATATGACTTTAAAAAAAAAAAAAAGTTTTTTTTGTACTCATTTACTCTTTAGGAAGTTGGATACTGTCAGGGAATGAGCCAGATCACAGCTTTACTCCTTATGTATATGAATGAAGAAGATGCCTTCTGGGCCCTGGTCAAACTGTTCTCAGGCCCCAAACATGCCATGCATGGTAAGAAAATTTCATATTTTAAAATAAAAATAGACAAGGGGAAGTGGTAAAATTAGAGCATTAGAAGATGCTAGGTAGAGCTAATAATAACAAACTTAATGTCCAGAGTCTTGTTCATTTAATGAATGTTGGTTGCTAATTTCTTATTTCATTTTTCTTCATTTAACTTCTCTGTTCATATATTTTCCTATGTCTTTTCCTTGAAATATATTGTTGGCATCTTAAAATTCTTACTTTAGTTGCTTCCAATCAAAAGAAACTAATTTAAAGTCAGAAAAATTCAGAAAAAGCTTTATTACTGGGAGAAGTGCAAGATACTTTTGGTCAAAACTTTTAGACAGTTAAGGAATTATCATTTTGGTGAAATGTTTACCATGGACTAGATATTGTGGTATGTAAATCTCTGTCAAAAGTAGTAATAGAGAAATGACAGGTGTTTAAAGAAATGGTGCTTAATAGTTAACTAGCTGTATATTTCAAGTGATTGGGGTTTTTTGTTGTTGTTGTTGCTTGTTTTGTTTTGTTTTTAGTTTTCCAGCCATAAAATTGATGCTATTTTAAATAAAAAGCTAATAACACCTTCTAGACACTTGATTGGTTAATATTTCAAAACTTGCATACTTGATTGGTTTTCAAAATAGCAGAGCGTTCTTAACACTTTTTCTTTACATTTGCTAAGCATATGTGATAAACTGTATTTTAAAGAGCTTGAATTGTAAATTGTCTTGGAACTAAAATTACCATTTGTCCATTACAGACACTATTTTCCCAATGTCATCCATGTGGTAATACCAACTTAAGAATAATTTCAACATTAGTTACTCAAGAATAGATCATCTACATTTTAAAAAGCCTTTCTGAAGTTAGAGAGTCGGTTCTGAAGGACCAGTGTTTTATGTTAAACCAAAAATGTTCAGAGCATAAAAGTTTGCAGAATTATCTGTAAAAGTTAAATCACTCTCAGGAGAGAGGAATATTGATGAATAATCCAGGACTGACCTTTATTATGTCAATCACTGTCAAATGTGGTAATATATAATGGTGGGGAATCTGTCACATGCTTAAAGTGATAGTTTAACATTTTCAAAAAGATAGCCTTCCATAATTTACTGTTTCACACTCTTAACATGTGATTTTTGTGAGGGTATTGTGTGACACTGTGTGTGTGTGTTTGCATTTATCTTTCTCCCTTAATTTTCCTTGCCATTTTTTTTTTTTTAAACAAATACTATCTACAGAATAACTAACTGGGGACATTTTGCATCCTGTAGATTGCAAAAGTAAGCTGCATTATCATATTGAACTACCCTCCAGTAGGCCGTATCATTTGAAAAGGATTGTTGAACAAAAATTATAACTCTTCAACAAGCTTTATTTTGCTTTACTGTGGGATGGTGTTGCTGATATAGTTTGAAGCACAACAGAATGTTGTGATTGAAGTGGTATGTAATTATTTGGAAGATTGCTCTATTTGAAAAGCAGTCATTTCTTTTAAACAAATTTGATAGCTCATTTTCAGGAATTATCATCACTAGTTTCCTTGGTAAAGTGTTATCAATTCTTGATAACAATTGTTATCAAATGTTGTCCTAACATTTGTATTTGCAGTACAGTTTAGGTCATTATTATGGGTAGGTTTCTTTCTAGGTCTGCCCATGTAATTCTGTAAAGTAAAAGTAACCTCAATTCTTTGCATTTCTTCCATGAAAGTATAAATATATAGAATTAAAGTGGGGGCTAGGGAAAACCAGATTTAGTATCAACTCTGAGATATCACTGAAAAGTGAAGAAATGTTTGATGCCTTAGCATCTTTGATCTAGTGGTGATTATTCAAGGATATTGACTTTTCCAAAATCAGACTTTTCTTGAAATTCTTCCTATAGTCATTCCTGTCAGATTGACCATGAAAGTGGCACTGATAGAGAACTTTTTTTTTTTTTAATGAAATCATTTCACGAGAAAATATAAGAGAGGAATAGAAACTCTATGTCTGGAAATTTTTACACATATCTTAGAAAACTTAGAATTAGTTAAGTAATAATCCTGCCCAGAAGATTACAAAGCAATTTTCCCAACAGTGTTCCAAAGAACATTAGTTCCTTAGGTTCTTGGATGAACATAGTTTCATTTTTTGGAAATATGTTCTGTAGGGGAAAATGGACTCTAAGATCAAAGTCTGAAAGATTGAGTCAAACTAAGGCAAATAAGTTTCTTTACTCCATAGGACAATTCAGAAACATTAGTAAGTTCATTTGCATCATTAGTATCCAAGAAGGGAATATATATAATATGTGCTGTGTGTGTGTATGTGTGTGTACACGATATATACAGCATTTCTCCTGGGTTCTTTTATAAAAGTACAGAATATCTTGTAAAGTTACGTTCAACCTATGTTGGAAAATACTAATGTGGAGAAATCATATACTCAATTATGTATTTGTCCTCTTTAATCATATAGAATATCTGAAAAGAAATATATGAATAAAAATAGAATGCAACATTCAACAAGTCAAATACACAAAATCATTGCTAACTTATCATTTATAATTGCATACTTTCTAGAACTGTTTTAAATTATGTTGTATGTTGGGTGAAAATACAATTTTATTTTTGAGATACCTTGATCATATAGTGCCAGTTTATTTTCACTCATGGTAAATATGGATTATAGAGAAGATTAAAAAGTGATAAAAATTTAGGAAATATGGGATATTGGAGGCGGGGCAAGATGGCGGACTAGGCAGAAGGATTGCACAGACCCTCTTCAACAAAGAAAAGG